CAGAAATGTCTCTTGCAGACAAGAAAAGAGAAAATGTCAAAACTTAGTTATGGCACCCAAACTATCACTGTACAGGGAGTGGACAAGAAGGATGGGAGTTCATTTCCACCTATTTACAATTCCTTTGAGAGCAGTATATAGAGCATGATTACTGAGAGAAATGCCAACGCTTGCATAAGGCATTTACCCTTGACAGAAATGGAGCAAACTGCTGTGGGAGCGTGCTGACCGGGGAGAAAGTGGCCAGCCCACCCATCCATCATCCTGCTAGCTCCTAAAGAGTCAGCAGGGGCACAGCGCATGGCATGTTTCTGTTTGCAGTGGAAACCAATAGTTAGGATCATGCTTGCTTGAAAGCATTCTTTTGGATAATTGAATAAAGATTTCAAGTTAGGGTAGGTGCCAGCATATTTCCTGGGTTCTTTAGGATACATATGAGAGCTCCATTGGCACAGGTCCTGCCTGGCTCCTTTTGGAAAAGGGAAGTTGTGTTTTGAAAGAGAGCACCCACCTCTGTCAGTGACCGCTCAGTATTTTATGCTTGCAAATGATCTGACAGCATGTTGAATTCTTTTTTGGCCTTAACTGTATTCACTGTATCCGAGATCGGAGTTTTTGAAAGCTTCTTCACTCACAAGACCCATGGGAACCACAGGTTTTCCATTAGTAGTACTAACACAAGAAATACACATTGCTGGCCTGTCCCCTCATATCTTGAAGGCAAATGTTAACAATTGTTAGGGCCACCAGGTGTCATGGTGGTCAAGGCTCTGGATTCCCACATGGCCAGCCATAGTTAAGTCCCAGACCTGGAGCCTTACTCTCTCACTTTCCTTCTCCTCCTTCTCTTTGGTCAGCGCACATATCTTATAGCAAATTAAAATACAGTAGTAATAATAATAAAATAAATCTTTTTTAAAATTGTTGCTACTTCTAGCATTTATAAAAGCAAAAATTGAAAGCACATTCTCAGAAATGGATATGAAATACGGGATGGAGTCCTAACAACACTAGCAACATCCATGCATTGCACAAAATATTGATATCATTCACCTCAAAATGGCATAAACAGTGAAAGATCACAGTTTTTCTTACACAAAACATGTTTTTAAGCTATTCTTTTTATCATGAGGGCTAGACTCAATACTTATTAAAGTAAGACTTTTTTATGACTTCTTTTACATTCTTATACCATTTCATCTCTGTAAGGCAAAGCTCAAAGACTTTCTTATAGTGATAAAGCTAAGATAATAAAGAGATGTTCTTTAGTTTCTTAGAAAAGAAACTAGAGGAGTGTTTAAGGCACTGGACTCACACATGGTCAATCATGGTTCAAGTCCCTTGAAAATCATGCCAGGCACATGTATGCAAGTGCCTAAAATCCTAAGAGAAGAATGGAGGAAGAGAGGGAGAGAAAATGAGAAAGCACCCTCTATGGGGGAATGGTTCCACCACAATCCCTTCTCCTCCATTTCTCCCTTCTTTTAGGATTTGGACGTGCATATAAACATGGCATGTTTTTCAAACTGCTGAGACTGGGACTCAAACCAAGTGGGCCATGTGGGATCCAGCCATCTTAACCACTATACCACTGGATGGCCCACCTTTTCTAATTTAATTTCTTTTCATTTTTCTTTGCTATAGGGTGCAGGTGCTCCATAGAGAATGGTGGGGGGAGTGAAAAATCACTTCCCAGGGAAGATGACCATGCTACAGTCCCTTCTCCTTCATTCTCTTCTCAGGATTTTGGGCATGCATGCACCTGGAGCAATTTCAAGCCACCTCGGCATAGGTCATGGGTCAGCCATGTGGAATCCAGCCTTCTTAACCTGTGTTACCTGCTGACCCCAATAGTATAAATTCTTGATCAATAATAAAGTGACCTGTTGTTGAGCTAGAAAGAGAGAGAAAATATTTTGTTTTGTTTAAACCCCACCTTGCTCTTTCTGATGGATAGGTCTGGACCCATCTGTGAGAGTTTGAACAAGCCGTGTAGATTATTCTGGTACACATTAAAGTTTGAGAACTACTGGGCAGAAACTTAGTGGATATGGACAGCTTCTGTAAAACTTCCCATAGAACTCTTCTCTTCACCAGCTAGGTAACTCAGGAAACCATCTGTTTGGAGTTCTAGATTCCAGTCTTACACTACTGAGTTCAGCATCTTGGCACAACATCCATTAAATCGTTTCTTCAGCAGCATTTTCTCTTATCTTAGAGATGACCTTTGAACAAAAGAATTAGATACAATGCAATATCTTAAGTAGAGTCCATCATCTCTGTAGAGCAATCATGTAACTCTGGGACTACATTTATATTTTCATTAGCCACAGAATCTGTAATACATGAATCCAGAAATAAGTCATACTCATATTTATTTTTCCGTCGCAGTCTACTAAAATAGCAGAAGTTCTTTTATTTGTACCTTTAGCTAAATAAACATTAGTAGGACTCCATTTGGGTTAATAACTACAATGCTTTTTTCTTTTTTTTTTTTTCTTAGAGATTTTTGCTTTAGGGCACATGTACTCTCCAGAGAGACAGAAAGCAAGAAATCACCCCCGACCTGGGGTAACAGGGGTATGGCCATGCCACAATCTCTTCTCCATTCTGCTCAGGATTTTGGGCATGCATACACATGCACCTGCCTGAGTTTAAGCCACCAGGTCCAGGACTTGAATCATGGTCAACTCTGTGGGACTCTAGGACGTAACCATTACAGTATCTGCTGGTCCCAACTACATTGCATTTTTTGCATTTTTGTTAGTTTTAGTTTTACACAGAAATATTAAATAATGCATGGTTGTCATCCATACTGTGACTGTTTAGATCAACTAGTTGTAGTTACTGGCCAAGCTTTACATAACATTACTCGTCTATCTCTTATGTTAGAGGGTCCTCAAGACCACATCTAAGTCTGAAGATTTGCAGGGAGGATATACAGGACCCAGCATATAGTTGTACTTACTGAGGAAATTTAGTGCAGTGAGTATGTAAAGCAAAATCAACAAAGAGAAAAGGTACCTGGAGCAAAGTCCAGGGAAAACCAGGTACAAGCTTGAAGTCACACAGAATGGGCTAATTCCCACAGCAACAAGTTATAATAAAATCTGTGAACTAGGTCACTATTCAGGTTGGTCACATAGGCAGTCTGTCCAATATATCCCCAAATTTCAAACACCCAAAGGGAAAGTGTTTGATGTTAAACCATATTGTTTGCACAAACAGTTGAAATACAGTGAGCTGCTCCTATCAATTTAGGGAATAGTGTGAATCCTCCTAAATCCAAGTTCCAGATCCCTGCCAAGAGCTATCCTTATAAGCAGATCTTTCATACAATAGCAGTCAGGTCTTCTATGTCTCTTTCCTACATACCTGTCCTAAATAAATCAGTACTTGTTCCCTTTCTATCTATGGATCTTGATGTATGTCTGTGTCATGACGTCCTTCTTGCAGTGTAAACTCTGTGAGGACAGATAGCATATCTACTCTGTAAATTCTTTTTCACACATCAAGATGAGTGCCACTTAAATTTGGGCCTCTAATAAATCCTTGCCTTTGGTTATTCTGCATGCCCGTATTGCTGACTGCATCACTACCTATTTAAATGCTGACTATTCTTCAGTGTCATGCCCACCTCCCTGCTCTGCCATGTAGCCTTAACTGGTTAGACAGCTGGCTTTGAGCTCTTTTTTCTTAATTCTGGTAACCTTCAAGATCTGTGCTATTTAATTTAGTACTAGACTTTCTATTGCCTGAATTTTCCTATTTTTTACTTAAACTTTTCATTCTTAGTGTGTCATTCCTTTACAGAATATAAATTCCTTTAAAGGAGTCTAATCTTTTTCTATTTTAAAATTTTATTTATTATTATTTTTATTTGCTATAGGACACATGCACTCACCAGAGAGATAGTGAGAAAGTAAACTGTCAGGTCTGGGACCCAAGCCATGGTTTGTCATGTGGGAGTCCAGAGCCTTAACCACCACACCACCTGTTGGCCCCATCTTTTCTTTTTTAAATAGCCATTGATGGGGCCGGCAGGTGGTGTGGTGGTGAAAATGATAGATTCCCACGTGGCTGACCACAGTTTGAGTCCCAGACCTGGTGCCTTGCTTTCTCACTTTTCTTCTCTCTCTGTGGTCAAATTTTAAAACTTAGTAATAATGATAATGAATAAAATCCAATAATTCTTTTTTTAAATAAAATAAATAGCCATTGGTTTTTGGACCCAAATCTTTGGATTAATTAAAGATATAAATTGAATAGAGAAAAATTGACTAGCATAAAATGATTAGGTCTAGTATCCTTGGCTCTTTAGATATTTAGAGATGAAAAAACAAACTTTCTCTTTAGAAAAAAGACTAGTTAATTGCATAGATTAGGACAGTCAAGATACAATTGCAGAAAGGATACCTCTCTGTTTGAACAAGAGGATGTCAATTACAGTGATGCCTTAATTGTTAGCTAAGCCTCAATTATATAAGCTGTGTTGTACTAGGTTAAAGAAGTCATGTTAAACCAGTTAGTTTTGACTATGTACTATATTTTGCCAAATGTTTTTTACTCAAACTGCAATTCTGTAAAGTCACTATCAATACAGAGATAATGATAACTGCGATTTATCACACCCCAATTTTAGCAAACTAAGTTGCAAATGTTCTCGTAACCATACTTTCAATTGCCCATGGTCCCCTTGGTCTCATGTCTCCTGAACAAGTAAAGATATTTCCGTTGTCAATATCAAGATGCTGGAGACTTCTAAAGTTGATCCCATTTGACAGGGTTTAGAACCAAAGACTGGAAATTAGAAATGCCAACGTGATTTTTACTGTAATTGTATTACTAGTCAACTTATTTATTTGTTTCAGTTTCCCTTATTGAGTCTTGGCTAACATTGTTTACCACGAAATACTCTATTTAGACTACAAGGTTTATACAAGAGGCTATTGCAGCCATTTGAGATGAGTAAATCCCCCTTTTATCACTAATCTTTGCAGGTGTAAAGAAATGAATAAACGGAGACCCCGAAGTTTACTAGAGAAATTACGCTGGGTGACCCTAGGCTACCATTATAACTGGGACAGTAAGGTATTCAGATTTTCTTAATTCTTTTGTTTTCTATTTATTTACTTTTTGTTTTGTTTTTTGTTTTTTTGAGAGGTTTTTGTTATAGGGTGCGTGCACTCACAAGAAAGACAGCGAGAGGCAGGGAGAAAGTGAGAAATCACCACCCCAGGAGACATGGCCACACCACAATCCCTTCTCCTCCATTCTCCTCTCAGGATCTTGGGCACACACATACACGCGCCTGGCATGAGTTTAAGCCACCGGGTCCGGGACTCGAACTGCTGTCAACTACGTGGGAGTCCAGCGGCATAGTCATTACACCAACTGCTGGTCCCTTCATTTATTTACTTCTAAGGCCCACATAGTTGGACTACTTCTTGACCAAACTTAAAGTACCAATTTTCCCATTTATGGGAGCGTCTCTTTCATGTATTCCCTCCTAAAAAACCTCTCTTCATATTTTGGGCCAGAAGGTGTCCAACCACAGTTTGAGCTCTAGACCTGGCATCTTGCCTTCTTACCCCCCTCCTGCTCTGTCCATCCCAATTAAGTAAATAAATAGAAGTTAAGTAAAATAACTCTTAAATAAAACCTCTCTTCAGATTTCTCAAGAGACATGAATAATTTATCAGGAGAAAATTTCTTCTTCATAAGCCTTCAAGTTATATTATTTCATCAGAAGTCATCCATGTTTTCTCAAAGTAGGTTTCTTTTTGGGGGGGGGGATTTTGCTATAGGGCATTGTGTACTTGACAGAAAGAGACAGAGAGAGAAAGCGAGAAATCACCCCCCAGCCCCCCGGGGAGGGATGGCCACACCACAATCCCTTCTCCTCCATTCTCCTCTTGGAATCTTGGCCACACACGCACACGTGCCCAGCGTGAGTTTAAGCCACCAGGTCAGGGACTCAATCAACTATATGGGAAAGTAGCAACATAGCCATTACACCAACTGATAGTCCCTCAAAGTTAGGTTTCAAGGACATAGATTTTTCTTTACTGTTTTCAAGAGCAGTTCTCAGTTATCATTTTTATTTCCATGCATGTGTAGAGTTTTTTAGCATTTATTTTCTACACAATATCCACCTGACATAAAGGAATCTATATATACTTTTTTTTTAAAGAGAGATTTTTGTATGCACATGCCAGAGAGACAGAAAGCAAGAAATCACCCCCCAGGAGGGATGATCATACCGCAGTTCCTTCTCTTCCATTCTCTTCTTGGGATCTTGGGCATCCACACACATGCACCCGGCGTGAGTTTATAAACTGCTGGGTCCAGGACTTGAATTGCAGTCGACTATGTGGGAGTCCAGTGACATAATCATTATAGCATCTGCTGGTTCCTCTCTGAATCCTTCTAATGTTATCTTCCATCAGTGTACTTTGAAGATCTTAGCTATCTTTGTCTGCATAGCAAAGATGGGAACGAATTTCCCACTGTTAACAAAGTTCCATATTTTCTCATGCTGTGACTTCTTTCCTATTCCCTCTGCTTTAGAAAACATCTCCTTTGTCACTAGCGTGTAATACCTCTTGTGTCAATAAGATGTTTGTCACCAAGTGGAAGGACTAAGAGTAAACTGAGCAAAACATACTGGTACATACTGTCCTCTTGTCCACCAGCAGTACTTTCTCCACTCCATAGTTTTAGTCCACCCCACTTATTAACAAATACATTAACTGCTCCAAATAATGACAGATGTTGCTTTTAAATATTTGTGGTATGTAGGTGACCATGGTTCAAGTCCAGGATCTGGCAGCTTAAAACTCACACCGAGCATGTGCATACCCAGAATTGCAAGAGGGGAATGAAGGAGAAGGGATTGCGATGTGGCCATCACCACTAGGAGACAATTTCTCTCTTTCTGTCTCTCAGTCTCTCTGGTGAGCACATCCACCCTATAGCAAAAATCTCTCTCTCTCTCTCTCTTTCTCTCTCTCTCTCTAGATATATATATATATTTCTTATTTTTGGGACTGAAGATTCAGTGGGAAACTAGACGTTTGTATTTGGGAAAATGGCCATGTGATTTTTCTTTGGGTTGAAAGTATGCCTTTAAACCTGGCTCTAATAATGGCAGTGCCTACTCATGAGGTAGTTGTGAATTCAGTGATTAATGCCTCTAAAGTGATTACAGCAGTGCCTAGCATGTTCTAAGCCGTTAAAGGCATTAGTACAATACAAGTTAGCTATTGGTTTGGATGATATTTTTTATTGTTGATACTGTTATCATAAGGACCTCAAAAGTTAATCTCAATTACCACGAAAAATAGAAAGGGAAAATTATCAAAAAAATCAAAAATCACAGATGTAGCCTTGTCGTCCTTGTGAAATGATTGAATATAGAGAAACTGAGCTTAAGGTCTTTGGGTTTTGGGGGGGTTTTTTAGTGAAAAAAAAAAAAAAAGATGGTTGTGATCCTTAGATGTTAAAACAGTTGAGAGAAGTAAGTGCTAAAAATTACTTCCATTTTAAAGTCCTACTTTGGTCATGATAAAAGTTGGAGCTAATTCAGATGTTTTTACCACATCATCCCATCAAATTGACCAGTAAAATTGTCACTAAGCCATGTTGCAAGCTAAGAGGTCTGAAACTAAATTGACTATAATATTGGAGTCATCTTTTTCTTTTGTTTTCTAATGAACTTTTATTTTAGGATAGCTTTAGATTTACAGAAAAGTTAAGATAGTACAAAGAGATCCCATTCCCAGTTATTAACTCATAGTACTTAGTACCTGTGTGTCAATTAGCCAGTAGTAATACATTATTATAATGGTAATGGCCATACTTCATTCCTACTAACTCAGTTTTAACTAAGATCCCTTTTCTGTTCTCGGAGCTCCTCCAGGACACCACATTACATTATCATGTTTTTATAGGCAACTTTTGGCAGTGACCGTTTCAAGTTGCCTTTTTACCCTAAGAAAACTATCTGTTTGGGATGGAAGTATGCTAGAGAGTGGGATAGTAGCTTCTTCACATACACATTCCTTGCAGTGTGGGTTTGTCTTAATTTATCACTGCATAGCACAGTGCCTGCCACAGAATAGGTGCTATGTGTTTTGCATCATTTATTATTAGATTGCTGGGTGCCCCAAGAATGACTGGAGAGAGAACACTGTAATAATACTATTATACTTTGTAAGTTAGGTGCTTTTATAGTGGTCATTAATCTTACGCCACAGTTTCCTGAGATTATTGTTCTTTTTTTTTTTTTCCCCCTACTTATACCAAAGAAATACTCAGCAGATCATTACACACCTTTCCCTTCTGACCTGGCTTTCCTCTCAGAGCAAGTAGCTGCTGCCTGTGGATTTCAAGGCTTCCGAGCTGAAGCAGGTATCCTGAATTACTACCGCTTAGACTCCACACTGGGAATCCATGTGGACAGATCTGAACTAGATCACTCCAAACCCCTGCTGTCATTCAGGTAAGTTAGTTCCAGGGATTTTAGATTTCTTTCATTCTTTTTTCCTAAAGCATTTTTGAGCTAACATAAGTAAATAAAAATATTAACCATTCAAAAAAGACTCTATACTCTTTCATTTCTGGGTATCATAACAGTGCATCCTAAAATAAAAATAGCATAGGGGGTCAGCAGATGGTGCCAAGGTTAAGGCAGTGGATCCTACATGGCACACTTCACGGTTAGAGTCCTGAACCCAGCAGCTTAAAAATCACACCAAATGCATGTAAATCTGAAGAGGAGAATGAAGAAGAGATTGTGGTATGACCTTCCCCTGGGTGGCGAGGTGTAATTTCTCACTTTCCCTCTCTATCTCTCTCTGTCTCTGGTGAGTGCATGTACCCTACAGCAAAACTGAAAGTAAATGAAAATTGCCTAGTCCTTTAAGAGCAATGACCAAATTATACTCTCTGTTTAAGATGCATAGAGTCTGGGGCCGTTAGGGTAGCATGATGATTGGGGCACTAGACTCCCACAGGGCCGGCCTGGCGGTTTGCTTTCTCACTTCCTCTCTCTCTCTCTCTGTCTCTCTCTGGTCAAATTTAAATAAATGAATGAAGTTAAATAAAATATTTTTTTTTAAATATCTGTGCAAAATACAGCATCTGTATCAACAAAGTGACTTTTGGACTAGTCAGTGGCATGATGGTTAAGGCAGCTGGTTCTCACATGTCTGATTGTGCAGTTCGAGTCCCAGACTGGCAGTTTGAAAAACACACCAGGCTTGTGTGCATGTATGCCCAAATCTTGAGAAGAGGATGAAGGAGACATCATTGTGGCATGACCATCCTCTCTAAGGGGTACTTTCTCATTTCCCTCCCTCCCACTCACTCACTCTCTCTCTCAATCTCTCTCTCTCTCTCTCTCTCCAGTGAGTGCACATACCCTATAGCAAACTAATTTTTAAAGTGACTTTTTTTATGAGAGATTTTTGCTGCAGGGTGCATGCACTTGCCGGAGAGACAGAGACAAAAAGTGAGAAATCACCCCCCGGGGGGGGATGGCTACACCTCAGTCTCTTCTCCTCCATTCTCCTCTTCGGATCTTGGACATGCACACACACACACGCGCCCAGCGTGAGTTTAAGCCACCAGGTCCAAGATTTGAACTGCAGTGGTCAACTACATGGGAGACCAACAACATAACCATTTTGTCATCTGCTGGCCCTTAAAAGCGGCTTTTATTGGGACCAGCAGTTAGCATAATAGCTATGTCGCTGAACTCCCTTGTAGCCGACAGCTGTTCAAGTCCCAGACCTGGTAGCTTAAACTCACACCAAGCGTGTGTGCGTGCATGCCCAAGATCCCGAGAGGAGAATAGAGGAGAAGGGATTGTGGCATAGCTATCCCCCCTGGGGGTGATTTCTCGCTTTCTGTCTCTGTCTCTCTTCTTTCTAGCAAGCGCACGCACCCTATAGCAAAAACCTCTCCAAAAAAAAACAAAGCGGCTTTTATTGAGGCTGGCATATTGCCTGGTTAAAGCATGGACTCCCACATGGTCAACCATGGTTTAAGTTTTAGACCTGGTAGCTTGCTTTCTTGCTTTCCCTTTCTTTCTCTCTTGTCTTTCTGGTCAAATTTAAAAATGATAATAATGATAAATAAAATTAAATAAATAATTTTTAAAAGTGGTTTTTATTACATGCCAGTCTTTAAAGTAAAGGAATGATAAACATTTTAAAGGACGCAAATAATTTTATTGAAAGACTTGAATCTTAAAGTTGTATCAGTAAAACTTTATGAATATTGTTAACACTAAATTCTTCATATGTTTATTTACTGCATCACATTCTATTTTGCAGCAGGCCTTGTGAAAGTGAACTGTCATAAGTATAGATAGCAGATAATGGTTTGGTCACTCATAGACACAAGCCAGAAGACAAGGATTTTAGCATAGTTTAAAAAGATTTGAGGTGATATTAGAAAATAATGCAACAGGGCCAGCAAGTGGCGTAGTTGTTAAGGTGCTGGACTCTCCCACGTGGCCAACTGTGGTTCAAGTTCCAGACCTGGCAGCTAGAAACTCACATGTGCATGTGTGCCCAAAATCCCAAGAGGAGAATGAGGAGAAGGGATTGTAGAATGGTCATGCCCCTGGAGGGGTGATTTCTTGCTTTTTGTCTCTGTCTCTTCACTGAGGGCATGTACCCTATAGCAAAAATCTCTTAAAAGAAAAAGAAAAAGAAAAGAAAAGAATGAAGAACTTTCCTAACTAGAATTAATATCAGGAACTCACCGTTGTGTGTTGTTTTTATTTTTTATAGCTTCGGACAGTCTGCCATCTTTCTCCTGGGTGGCCTCAAAAGAGATGAGGTCCCCACGGCCATGTTTATGCACAGTGGTGACATTATGGTAATGTCGGGTTTCAGCCGCCTGTTGAACCATGCAGTCCCTCGGGTCCTTCCAAATCCCATGGGGGAAAGCCTGCCTCACTGCCTTGAGACACCACTCCCTTCTGTCCTCCCTGGAGATTCAGTCATAGAGCCTTGCTCTGTGGAGGACTGGCAGGTGTGTGCCAGCTACTTGAAAACTGCTCGTGTTAACATGACCATCCGACAGGTACTGGCCACAGACCAGGACTTCCCTTTGGAACCAACAGAGGAGAAAAAAAGAGACATCATCCAAGAAGGTTTCTGCAATCTAGATGACCAAAATAGCCAAGTAAAACGGGCTAAGTTAAGCCCTGACAGCTGAGGCTAGAGTCACTTTTTTGTTGTTTTTTTGGCCGAAGCAGGTCTTGAGATAATGACTGTGCCATTTGTATTGCCATGAACTTTAGCACCAATACAAGCCCAAAAACAGACAGGGAAGAATGCATCATTGATCACGTTGTTGCCTTGGAACCCGTCTTGAAGAGAAAACCGATTAACTACTCTGCTCAGAGAAGCGTTAGTCATGGTCTGGTCCTTTGTAGGTGCTGTGCTGAGGAGTCCAAGGAGGTGCAGTTTTCCACAACAGCCTCCTCAGCCTCTGTCACTCACAGCCTCTGAAGAAGGAAGAAGTGAGTCTCCGCATCTGCAGAGTCTTTAAATACCACATATTTTATTACTGGGAAATACCGTACCCTCCACCCCACTGCGTCTGGTGATTTGTGGTAAAATTGTAGTTCCATGAATGGTCATTAGTCTCATCATCTTCCTTCCCGTAGACATTATCAAATTCTTTGATCTTGTCTTCCATCTTCTCTGGTTCTCATAGAGGATCCTGTATACCTTAAGACAGTGGAATTAGAAATCTTGTCCACCGGAGAAGAAATTAATCAGCTCTCTCTCTTGTCTAAAAGATAAATATATGTAAACCCAAAGAAAAGGAAACAGTAGTTTATCCACTTTTCTTTTAGGTCTCCAAACTCTCCCTGTCAGCTTTTTAATGTAATTTTAATTATTAGACAAAAAGAAAATCCCAAGAATATTCTGTTACTGATTTCTCCATGAATAAACTTACTCAAGTTTAAATTAAAGATCTGTGTCTGTCTTTAGGGGTTAGCATATCTGGTATTAGTTTTCCTGTTTTTATTTGCTGTATTATTCACACTATTGAAGCCCTCTGACTGCTTCTGCCTTATTTCATCCTTTCTTTGTCCTAAGTACTCTTTGTGCCTCACAAGAGAGAATATTCCTTGTTAGTTCTGTCACTACTGTCTTATCTGATGGTAGACAGCTTAAAAATGTGAGTTAAGCACCAATTCTTTTATTTTTATGCAAAAAGGTACATATGGGGGACCAGCAGGAGGTGTGGTGGTTAGGGCGCTGGACACTGGACACTCCCACATGGCTGACTGCAGTTCCGAGTCCCGGACCTGGGTGGCTTACTTGCTCGCTCGCTCTCTCTCTCTCTCTCTCTCGTCAAATTAAAATAAGTGAATGAACAAATAAATAATTCTTTAAAAAAAGAAAAGGTACATATGAGAGAGAAAGAGAAAGCAACCCCCCCCCCAGCAGTGGTACTTGGTCACAGTGCAACCCTTTTTCCTCCAGTTCTTCATCCTGTCAGGATCCTGGGCATGAACATATGTGCCCACCCTGAAAGTTGCCAGGGCTGGGACTCAAACCTTCGTCAACTTGGTGGGATCCAGCTTCTTCTGTATAGCACTTCAGCACTATGGGGCCAGCACCTCACGCACCAGATTTTAATCTTTGTACCCCAACCAGCTCAAGTCACCATACCCTGAGCCAAGTTACCTTACATTTCTCTACACTTCTTCCTTGTTTGTAAAGTGAAGGTAATATTGGGAACCAGCAGTTAGCGTAATAGCTATGTCGCTGGACTCCCACATAGTCAACCGCGGTTCGTGTCCCGGACCCAGTGGCTTAAGACTCACGCCGGGCGTGTGTGCGTGCATGCCCAAGATCCCGAGAGGAGAATGGAGGAGAAGGGATTGCGGCGTGACCATCCCCCCTGGGGGGTGATTTCTCGCTTTCTGTCTCTATGTCTCTCTCTGTCTGGCGAGCGCACGCACCCTGTAGCGAAAACCTCTCCAAAAAAAAAAGTGAAGGTAATATTAATTACTATCTTCTAGGGGAATATTGATATTTGAAAGAGAATTTAGGGGGACAGCAGATGGCATGCTGGTTAAGGGCACTGGACTCCCACATGGCCAGCTGCAGTTCAAGTCCCAGACCCAGCTGCATGATTTCCCCCTTTCCCCCCCCCCCGTCCCTCTCTGGTCAAAAATAAATAAATAAAAGTACCAGCAGTTGGCGTAATGGCTATGTTGCTGGATTCCTATTTAGTCCACCACAGTTTGAGTCCCAGACCCAGTGGCTTAAACTTATGCCGGGTGCATGTGCTCCCGGATGAGAGGAGAACGGATTGTAGTGTGGCCATTCCCCCAGGGGTGATTTCTCACTTTCTGTCTCTGTCTCTGTCTCTCTCTGTCTTTCTGGCGAGTACACGCGCTCTATAGCAGAAACTTCTCCAAATAAATAAATAAAGTTAAATAAAATAATTCTTAAAAAAAATTTTTTTTGAAAAGAGAAAGAATTTAGTGCTCCCTTCTAGAAATGTGATATGCCAGTACTGTTTTATTGCTCTGTAGACTCAGAGAGACATCCTTGTTTGTTTGAAAGACTGTCTGGAAGCCCCTTTGATACCTGCTGCTTATAACATGTCTTGCTGAATTTGTAGCTCTCTTCCCTCCTGCCTTTTATTTTTTAATTACTGGCATTGAATATTCAGTTCGTGTAGCAATAGATTTCATTTTTCTTTATTTTTTTAAAGAATTATTTAATTTTTATTTATTATTATTTTAATTTCCTATAGGACATGTACACTCACCAGAAGAGAGAGAAAGAAAGTGAGAAAGCAAGCCCTCAGGTCCAGGACTCAAACTGCAGTTGGCCATGTAGGGATCCAGCACCCCAACCACCACACCACCTGCTGGCCCTGATAGCAGATTTTTTTAAGGAATAAAAATATAGAGGGGTCAGCAGGGGCCAGTGGTTCAGACACTGGATTCCCACATGGTCAACCGTGGTTTAAGTTCTGGATCCAGCAGAAACACACCAGGTGCATGTATATGCATGCCCAGAATCCCAAGAGGAGAATGGAGGACAAGGGACTGTGGCATGGCTATCCCCCCTGAAAGGTGATTTCTCACTTTCTGTCTCTTCATCTCTCCAGAGAGCACATGCACCCTATAGCAAAAATCTCTCCAAAAAAATTAATATAGATTTGTCCCTTATATGTAAGCTAGTTCTAAAATTAGTATATAATAGGAAGTTTTTATAAATTAAAATGATCACAGGGTCAGCCCATGGCTGGTGGTTAGAGCAGCTGGATCCCACATTCCTGACTGCTCAATTTGATTCCCAGATCTGGCAGCTTGACAGACATGCCAGGTGTGAATACAGGCTTGCCCAAAATCCTGAAAGGGAAAGACGGGGAAGAAGGGATTGTGACGTGGCCATGTGCCCTGAGGGAGTGATTTTCCACTTACTCTGTCTCCCTCGCAAGTGCACACACCCTTTGCCAAAAACCTAAAAACACAAAACTCTTAAATTTTTCATAATGTTCTTTAAATGTGACCCATCAAAAACCAACCTGCTGTCATTTTGTAGATTCAACAGAAATAATTTCTCCTTAGGGTTAGAGCAGAGTACTCTTTCTTCATTTTCATGTCAGTGAAGGTGTTGGTTTGTGTTTCGTAAGAGCCATGTTGTACAAATATATATATATATATATATCCAAACTATAGACTCATATCCCATGAAGCAAGATATTTTTGGTATAAGAGGCCAGTAGAGGGCCAGGTTGTGGCATGCTGGTTAAAGTGCGGTGACTCCTCAGTTTAAGTCCCAGACCTGGCAACTTGAAAAACACTCCAGGCACCTATGTGTGCATGCCCAGAATCCCAAGAGAAGGGTGGAGAAAGGGATTGCATGGCCATCACCACTGGCGAGTGATTGGTTCCTCACTTTCACTCTGTCTCTCTCCAGTGAACACACATGCCCTATGGCAAAATTAAATAAATAAATAACTTCTCCACAAAACCGCTATCTCTTCATGTCAAGGTCCTCCTATCTCAGCCTCCAAGCTGGGACTTTAGGCATGCGCCACTACACTCTTACACAGGGCCTTGCTGTGCTGACCAGGCCAGCCTTGCACTTAATCCATCTGTTTCAGTTTTGTAAGATGCACTCACTTTTTTAGATGTGTTCCTGATTAGTCTGAAACCCTTGTAGTTCCTCAGCTTCCTCTTGCTTTAAAATGTGTCTGGGCTAGGGCCAGCAGGTGGCATAGTGATTAAGGCACTGGACTCCCACTGAGGTTTGAGTCCTGGACTTGGTGACTTGAAAATCACACTTGGTGCGTGTTCATGTGTGCCCAAAATCCCAGGAGGAGAAGGGATTGTGGTATGGCCATCCTCTCTGGGAGGTGATTTCTCACTTTCCCTCTCACCATCTCTCTCTGCCTCTCTGGCAAACACTTGCACCCTGTAGCAAAAAATAATAATAATAAAAACTAAATAAAATGTGTCTGGCTAAGATGAACCTACTCATTACTCTGCTTATTATTTCAGTAGAACGCCTTGTGTGTTGCCCTTTTCCACATCCCATGCCTGGTTATTCCTTCAAGGGCCGCAGGTCCTCAGTGAGACAGGTGTAGGCACAGACTCAGCCAGACTTGACTTTCCAGTGTTCAAATTTACTCAGTTCCTTTTTCACTAAGATAAACTGGTATTACCCTTTTCCCTTCATTTATTTTCTTAAAGAATTAGTTTATTTAACTTTATTTATTTGTTTATTTATTTATTTAAATTTGACCAGAGAGGGATGGAGTGAACAAGAGAGAAAGAGAAAGCAAGAAAGCAAGCCACCAGGTCTGGGACTCGAACTGCTGTCGGCCATGTGGGAGTCCAGTGCCTTTAACCATCACACCACCTGCTGGCCCTTCCCTTAATTTAAAAGCTTGGTTTATGGACCAGCAGATAGTATAGCAGTTACAGCACCAGACTCCCACATGATTGGAATCCTAGAGCGGTGGCTTGAAAGATAATCACACTAGGCACGTGTGCGTGCGTGCCCAAGATCCTGGGAGGAGAATGGAAGAGAAGAGATTGCGGCGTAGCCATCCCCCCTGCGGGCGTGATTTCTCACTTTCCCCCTCACTGTCTGTCTGTCTGTCTTTCTTTCTAGTGAGCCCACGTGCCCTAAGGGGGGGGGGGGACTGAGTTTATTTCAGTAGAAAAAAAAGATGAATACTGTAAGTGGGGACCAGCAGGTGCCGTGGTGATTAAGAGCACTGGACTCCCACATGGCCAACTGTGTTTCAAGTCCCAGACGTGGCAGCTAACTTCTCTCTCTCTCCCTCTCCCCCTCCCTCCCTCTCTGGTCAAATTAAAATAAATAAATAAATAAATAAATAAAGTTAAATAAAAGAGTTCTTTTTAAAAAATACTGTAGGTGGATTCAACTAAGGCAAATTAGACTGGCCATGGGGGAAAAAGCCCTGGGAGTGACTGATGCATGGCAGGCTGGAGGAGCTGGTAAGGAAAGATACCTCTCCTGTTTTCTCCTGTTTCAAAGGCTGCAGTGAAAAAAGCAACACAGGGACCAGCAGTTAGCATAATGGCTATGTCGCTGGACTCCCACGTAGTTGACCACGGTTCATGTCCCAGACCTGGTGGCTTAAAACTCATGCCAGGCACGTGTGCGTGCATGTCCAAGATCCCGAGAGGAGATTGGAGGAGAAGGGATTGCGGTGTGGCCATCCCTCCTGGGGGGTGATTTCTTACTTTCTGTCTGTCTCTGTCTGGCGAGCGCACGCGCCCTATAGCAAAAACCTCTCCAAAAATAAAAATTAAAAACTAAAAAATAATAAAAAAATTTAAGAAAAAAAAGCAACACAGATCTAGTTTCTTAGCCTGGAAGACACTTTTGTTTTGAGTTAGTTTATTTCTTCATGTGAGAGACAGAGAAACAGCACATCCAACAGAATCTCTGCCATGATCTACCCCTG